TATAAATATATATTTATTTATATCACTCTTTACATACATCATTTGCATACTTAAATTTCCCTTTACCAAAAAAATAAATAAATATATTTTTGAGCTTTCAAATTGCTCTAGCCGATACCCAATACGTGATGCCCTATACCTCAGCCCGTGCCCATTTCTGTTTTTGGGGTCTACGTCTACTGAGGCTACTCTTTGACTTGCGTCTAATTTCTTGGAGTTGCCTTTCGGTTTGTGGTGCTCTGCTCTCTAGCTGCGCAGAGACGCCACCAAAAACGCCGAATGTCGTGCCACGTTCTCTGTGCCATCTACCCCTCGCCGCCGCCGCCCTCTCCCACCCACAGCTGCGAGACTCCAGCACTGCTCCACAATCTGCAGCCGTCGCCCGTTGTCGTTTAAATCGTACCACCACGGGCGACATAAAAATAATGAAGTGTGCGGGTGTGGTCGACTCGCTCTTAACTTGGCCCGGCTGACTGTCTCTCAGTCTGTCCGTCTGTCCGTCTGTCCGTCCGTCTGTCTGACTGTCAGCTCTGGCTGTGGTCTGGCCTGGCCAGGTCTGCTGCTCCGGGGCTGACTGGCGATCTGTTTCGACTGTTGCCAAAGACGTCGAAGCCAACGAGACGTTTGCAGATTGCTGAATCGTGTTTAGCCCAGCGGTGCGCTTTGCCATCAAACCCAATAAACATTTGCTACGCCACTTAGAACTAGCTGCAACTACTGTGTGCAAATGCTGGGCTCAACTAAATATTATTTTCTTATAGATTGTTTCAATTTTCGGTTTATTTCAATATTTTAATTGGAGTTGAGTATAGATTTATGAATATAATGCAGGCCAAGAAAAATTCAATGATTTTAGCAGACGATATAATGTATGTCTTACTTGTCAAATATATAATATGATATAAAAAGTCCACAAAATTCTCTTCACTAATAGAATATCCTGTGAAATCCTATGAGCTCTCTACTTTAAAATATGAATAATAATAATAATAATCTTGATTCATAGATGCACAAATTTCAACAGTTTCAGAATATTCCTTCTACTTAATACAACTTTGAAGGCAAAATTAATGAATGAATAAATATTTATGAACATCACCCACCTATAATAATATTCCCTATGCTGTTTATTTACTTAGTTCATAGATGCTCAGATTCTATATAAAAAATCTAATCGCAATGATATGATCATTTTCAGAGCAACTGGTCTTGCCACCTACTCTTTGCTCACATTAGGAACTTGTCTAAAAATATGTTCGCTGTGTTATTTGCCCACTAGTTGACGTACACACACGCCCAACAACAGCTAGAAATATAACGGTATCCAAGGTTGTGCTACGCTTAAAATGTAATTGTTCGACTTAAAGAGCTGCAGCAACAATAACAACAGTAACAACAACACAAGCAATAACAACAACAACGGCAACAAGAACAACTGTAACGACAAGTTTTGGCTCAGACTCTAATCAAAAGACGCAAGCGAAATACCAGTCGAAAGGCAGTCGCAGCTACCCACCTATAAAAGCTCCATGTGCATAGCAGCAGCAGCAGCAGCAGATACAGATACATCTATATGGCCCATGCACATGCCATGGATATACGAATAGGCAAACATACACACACACAGATCAACACCAACACCAACACACAAAAGCCAAGCGCAAGACAAGCGCCGCACTCGCTGATTTGACTGACTTTGAGCTCTATGCGGGAAATTTTCACTTGAATATTCGACACACTTACGAGCCGAGGCGACTGGAGCCGGCGCACAGCTGGACGCCTTGGCGCAGGACTGTCTGACGATCGGGCGGACTTGATTTTTTGTTTCGCGCATACCCTGTAATAATTGGGAATGGGTGCAAAACGCGTATGATCTAGCAGTGCTGACAGGATCAACAATCGAGTGGAGCTAGAGATCTCTGTTTACGTACTTTTGATAACTTGCCATCGAAAAGAGTCTAGGGAGTGGTTGACTAGCAAGATATATACAAATTTCGGAACTGCATGATGATAAGATTCGATTTCGGGATATTAGCCTTCATGGCATTGAAAATATTTTAGTAAATAATAATTTAATATTCCTGATCAGTATCAAAAGCCTATTCAATTTGATTATTTTATGTATTTATTATAAGTTACAGATAAACAAGTCTATACAAACTTGTTTATAACATATATTGATATATTATTCCAATTCCTATACAATAATCTGATAAATACATAATTAAAAGCAACTGTTAGTGAATAGATAAATACAGGAAAGGGTAAAAGTTATCGATAACTGTTTAAAGTTACCTAAATGGATACCAGTCCAAGATAATATCATAATTAGTGGAAAAATGGAAACTTATAAAACTGAATACAAAATGTTACAAATATGTAAAAGTTTGGTTTAAATGTTCATAAGTCGATTTTTAGTGCTGAAATCGATATCAACAACTCTCTTTAAATTGACAGCGTAGTCCATAAAAAATACTCATTCGACAGAAATCTTGCTACTTCAAATCCACAGGTCTAAGACAGTATATATCCTTCTCCGATAATATTCAGACAAATATTGATAGCCTGTAGAGTATATCGATATATCATAATAGAGATGTGTTTTTACTGCTGATTGACTGAAGTTAAACTGGTCCCACAGGGTAACTTCCCGTCGAGCCCCCTCGACCAGATCACTCTTACTGGTATCGCTCTTTTTCAGGGAGGGGCAACGTGGCAATTCTGGAGGCTATGCATCATCATCAACAGCATGGCAGCATGTTGCAACAATATGCAAGCGCTCTGCATGCATAAAATATTATGCAACACGAGGCACACAACAACAGACAAGAGACACAGCAGACACAACAGGCCAGACGACACTTGGCTCTGCTTTGCTGTCTATTTCACAGCTGTTGTTGCTGCTGCTGCTGCTGATGTTGTTGTTGTTGTTGTTGTCTGGCTGTTGACAGCATTTAGGTCTAATTGAATTGCCATTGCCTGTTCAAATGTTACGTCGTAATCCTGGCTTCAAGAACGCTTTGCTCCCATTTAAGCAAAACCCATAAATCTGCAGCAGCAGCGGCAGCCGCAGCCGCAGCCGCAGCATGAATTATGGCAAAGAGTTGGGGCAGAGGTAGGCGCGCACACCGACCAGTGTTGCGAAATGCGCCAAGTAGCGCCAAGAAATCTTGAAAATAATAAAATGACTAGTGCCAGGGCACGATCAAGACCAAGTGCTGCTGCGGCTGCTGCTGCGGCTGCTGCTGCTGTTGTTGCTTCCACAGCAACTGTTGCTGCTGCTGCCTTAATAACAATAACAATGGAGCTGCTCGGCAGTTAAGATCGGTCGCCTTCACAGTAGTCAGCATTGGGGCGTCTGCAGTTCAACGTTCAAGTGGCATAGTACGCCCTAGAAAAATGAATTGATTCGATTGTTGCGACTGCCGCTGCTGCTGCGGCGACTCGGCTCACTGGGCCAAACTTGGCTCAATTCTTTTTGGATTTTTCATCGCGGCTGCGGCTCATTGTTTGCAACTTTTTTCTTCTATCTGCACAAATCAGAGTCACCCGCGCCCTCAAAACAACCAACAAGAAAACGAACTAAGAACTTTGCAAACGTGTTGAGCCTGCTGCTCAATGCTCGTTCAAAGTTGAAAAAGTCGAACAAATTCTGTTTATGAGACACTTTTTAAATGTATTTTCAATCAAAACAATTATATAAAAAATGCAGTCTATGCAATGCTTATAAATGAGATCTTAGAGCTTTTCATATGATTCAGTAGTAAGCTTCTATAATAGTTGAATAATTTGTTTACCAGTTGCTAATCTGCAGCTCATGTCACATAATCTCAATAATCTATGTGATCTGCCTTTTAGGGAACTAGTTAGGAGTCTCTGCTTTTATATATTTCAGGTCTAGAGGGTCTGCCTTTAAGATTATATTTATGCTCTATTAAACTCTTTTTGCACATGATAAACCGAGTATTAACACCTTAGCTTCAAGCCACAAAGATATTGACACCAAGTTACAGATACAGATTAATAGAGCTAAAAGGTATCTTCACTGAGTAAAATATACCACATACATACAAAATTGGGAACATCAATCTTACTCACACGAATTTCTCAGAGGACTATGAACATTATTCCATGCCTCAACAAGCCCATATACCCGCCTTCACTATTGAAACGAGCATTGAAATATACTAAAAACTGATGATACAATCGCGTTTTTGACTTTGAAAAGTCAGCAGCAGCAGCAGCAGCAGCAGTAATACCAACAGCAACAGCAATTGGCAACAGCAACAGCAATTGGCAACAGCAACTGCTGCAGCCACAGCAGCTCGACTGATCCATTGTTCAATAGTCGTCGCTGCTCGACTGATTGTTATTGTTTATGAGAGCTGCACTCGAAACAAATTTTGTGGCACTTGCAACATTTTTATTTACAGCATCTTTTTTCTTTTACATTTTTTGGGGTGGGGGGTTTCGTTAACAACAGAAGAAATCATCATAGCCGGGCTTCAGCTGCAGCTGATATTGGCCAAACTTGGGCAGCTCGCTACCCTTCGGCGACTCCTCCTCCAGCCAAGACATCATCTCCTGCAGCTTGTCCTGTGTGCCCTCCAGTTCTCCGCTCACCGCATATCCACATTGGGTGCGTGTCATATAGCCGCGCACATTCAGCTCGGTGGCCTTTAGGGCGGCACGTGGCATCAGACCCTTAACGTCGGATAGGTACAGCTTGTAGGATACCCTATAGACTGCAACCGGTTCGTTCAGCTCGAATTGCATGGACATTTTTGATGAACTATTTTCAAAGAGCTAATTGAACTGTTTTTCAGATTGGTATTGAAAAAGATTAAAGTCCGATAAATATATACGTAAATATATATACATAGATATATATGCATATATATATATATAGTTATAAATGTATATATTTAATATATTTCAATGCCAATCCAAAACACTCTGATGGGATAACAAGTGACTACTACGATTTTCCCATTGATTGTGATTGAAGTTTAGCAGGGTTATTCAACACTGTTTTGGTTCATTTTAAAAACTGATATTCAGCTAACTTCGATTTCTTACCATAATAAGAATATAATTTTCGATTTTACTACATTTTATAGTTTTACTTTCATTCAATTTTCAAATCAATATAGCTTTGAAATTGCTGTCTCAACGTCTGAGCCTTTACCTCAGCAAATCTCTCATTTGAAGACATTTAAAAGACGACTAGACAACTAAAGCGAAATAAAAATTCCGAAGAATTTTGAAAAACTACAAAGAATTTAGAAATATTCCGGTAAATTCCGAATACTTCCGAAAAATTCAGAAAACATGGAAACGGATCAGATTAAGTCGACCTTCTCATTTAATAGCGCAGCCTATTTGAGATTGGTCGCTAGTCGCATGTTGGCTGAACGAAGCGATTCCGAATTCAGTTTTAATGGTAGTACCACTTCAGCTACCGATTCCGAAGCCCTCTCCTTCTGTACGTGCAAGCTCTGTCGGGATCGCAGGAGGACCGCTATTAACAAGGATACCGTTTTTCATGCGGAGTTCCAGTTGCACAAACTGAGCGCCAACGATGGAGAGATCTGTTATATGCTGATCAGTCAATGCAGAGATTTGGAGCTCAAAGGCTATGTTATCTTCACATATGAACGCGAAGATTGCTCGGGCCTTGTCGAGGGATCGATCAAGCGCATAAACGAATTCAAGAGTTGGCTGCATACACTAAACGACCACATACCCCAACCAGTGTCGGATAACATCTATTTCTCCTGGTTCCTAATCACCAAGCCAGGTCTATTGCAGTCAGAGTTCGACGAGCGCGTCACTCCACCATTTGTAACTAACAAAATGGTAGAAGGCGATTCTAGCGACGAGTAACTCGAACGTATTTTTCTGGCAGTGTAGTGCGGCTGACTCGTGCTGCCAACAGCATGTACCCATTGTTCAACACTGTTTCTGTTGGGTCTCAATCTCTTAATTAAATATGCGACTAACTGGCACCCGAAGCAACAAATTTATATACATATATATAAATATCTCGGCTAAGCTCAAGTCGAACTCAAAGATCGTCGTTTAGTGTCGAAATTGTGCAAGTTTTTGATTTTTCCTGCTGCTGTGTTGCTGTTGTTGTTATGTATCTTTTGTTATTGTTTAATTTTGTTGTTGTTGTTGTAGTAATCACACAGCTTGCGAACAAGAAATTAAATCAGCCAAGGTTATCTGGCATTAATAAGCCCCCTTGGTTTTTGGCTTACATTAACTTGACTCGTAGCTCGAGCTGCCTTTTTGGCGTCTACTCAATTATTAAATTTGCAATTTCCGTGGCCTGAACTTTTGGGTCAGTAGACTGATTTAAATCAAAGCAATAATTGTGCAAAAAAATCGAAAACAAAACAAAATATAGATACAAAAATAGAAGAAATATTGGAAACACAGAACCACAACAAAACTGGCGATAAAATTTGACAAATGCTCAGTGGGGCAAACCCCACAGCGGATGTGGCCAAAGTTTAAAGTGCTTTGGGTGAGGCACCGTCTCCAGCTGCACACACACACAAGCACTCGCACACATAAAGTCACTGAGCTAAGTGGCTTTTCATGACATTTTATTGACACTTCCCTCCTCCTAGCTGGGGGAAGACCTGTTTTCTTTCGAGCTATTCGGTTTCGGTTTCGGTTTTCTCACTCGACTTAACACATTTGACGAAGATGTCTATGCCAGAAATGACGTGTCATCAATGGAGCTTAGGCACCCACATAGAGATGTAACCAACACACACACACAAACACGCACACACTGAGTGAGATCCAAAAAAAGCACTTGATAAGGCTCGAAAATACTCGCTCGTAATAAGCCTGACATTTGGGAGAGTGAGAGGGAGGGCGAGTGAGAGAGGGAGAAGGCGACAGATCCACTTGGAGGTAGTCTTCGATGTTTCGTTGTGTAGGCGTCTGACAAAAAAGAAATAAAATAATAATAATTAAAAGTCATTTGAAATGCGGAAATGTTACCAAGAGCTTAATGCCAGCCATGTTAGACAAATATATCAGATTACTTGTTTTGGTTACCTGAAATTGAAGAGGAAAAAAATATATTACAGAAATAGAAAAGAAAACAAACAGAAATGAAGTCGAGGGCAGATCAACAGATCAGACAGATCAGCAGATCGGGTCGAGTAGGCAGATGACCAGCGAGCACGATTTCATTGAACGATTCGCTCCTATGAATAATGGATTGCCATAACGAGAATTTTTAATAAAAAGAGAGATGGAAGGTTTTAAAGATTCAAACATATTTATATATGTGTGCGAAAATAGATTTATAATATTTAAAAATGCTAATAGACAACAAAATATAAATAAATAAAGAAAAGAAAAAGAGACAGTCAGACAAATAGCGAGAGAGAGAGAGAGAGATAGAGAGAGACATAAGAGAGATGAAACAGACTGAGTAGGCGAGATATGAAAAGCAGAGACATATAGGATGTAGCAAGGGCGAGAGATAGAAACGAAAATATAGTGAGACAGACATTAGGGAAGCAAAAAAGATAGAAAAAGAGGGAAATAAAGACACATTAAGTCAAAGAGAGGGAGGGAGAAGGAATTGAAGCCACATTTAGACAAAGAGAGGGATACAGAGAGAGTTACTAGTGGGATAGAGACAGAACATGTCAATACGAGATGCAGAGGGTTATAGACAGCATCAGAGAGAGGTAGAGAGATACGGAAAGAAATAGAAATGCAGATAGACAAAAAACACAAAAATACAAAGAATGTCAGAAAGATACAAAGATGAACATGGCTAATTCAATTCAGTTTAACTTGCAACTCATATTTCATATCCTGCTGCTATAACATGGGTTTCTTAACAGTAATATAACCTTACTTTCCAATAAATCTGACTGCATCAGCTGTCAGCAATGTGATTCACTAATAAAATATAAACTTTGCATTCAATTATAACTATTTGTTAAGCAACATTTACTAATTGTTACTAATATTTAAGAACAGTTAATTAACAGTAGATTGCATATTCCGTGCGCTGCAACAACGACCTCTGCGAGCAGGCCAGTGTACTATTAGTCGAGTATACCCCGGCGCACCCTAGACTGCGCCACAGCCTGATGAATAATGTTTGAAAAACTATTTCCATTTTGGCGTTTGCTTTAACTCAAATTCCAATAATTAAATCCCAGTAGATGCATGAAATAATAATAGCTGCCGCCACAGAAGCCTTTTGCGCCAACTAATATTTAATAAACCACTAAAACAAAAACCATTTTCAGACACCAGGCAGCTAAGGGGCAAATGCAACAGAGCAGCTCGAGTTGCACTCGGACTCCGACTCACTTAGTTGGGCAGCTCCTAACGGTTGCACAGAAGGTCAGACCCCGCACGTTTCATGGCTCGAAGCGCACCTATCGTATAATTAGAAACGAACGACAACACAGCCATCTCTACATGTGTGAGTGTGTGTGTGTGTGGGTGTGTGAGAGCTCAATTGTGTATGTGTGTGTGTGCGCGCGCTTGAGTGTGTGTGGCCTGACTCTGACGAGCGTGTACGCAGCGCTTAAATGAGCCAATTGCAGAACGTTTAGTGTGGTACATAAAAGAGCGAGAAGCATATATACATACATACATAAGTATAACTACTAACAAAATAGTAGATCAAGTAAAACGAAATGAAAAGGAAATCTATAAGCAACATAAGAATACATTGAATATTATATACACTAATTGATATGGAGTAAAATGCGAAGTAAATTTGAGATGCTTATGATAATTTAATAATTTAAGTACGTTGACTAAACGTGTACCCAATAAAAGCTATTTATTATAGAAAATTATGTATTATATTTTTTTTATCCAACAATCATCCCTGTTATGCTCCAATGCAGAGCATTCATAATAATTATTGAAATTTATAAACGATACAAGATATATGTGAAGAATTGAAAAATACACTTAGGGCTATGAGATAAGATGCAGGCGAATTTAGTTTCGGTGTTTCAGTAAAATCCTGAGCTAGAAACTAGCTAACATCGAATACATTAACTTGGAACGTTTGCTATTAACAGTAGATATTGAAACTTAACAAGTATCATAATACATTTTTTAGCATGAAAAGGTAAAAGAAAAATTATTTAAATCAATAAATAATTTACCAAAAATTTACTTTGGTTAATTTAAATGAATTTAACACTAATATTTAAATTAAATATCATATACTATTAAATTAACAGATGAAAATTTATATATTTAAATTTCTAACAAGAAGTATAGAATTTTCAGTCAGTGTGGGTCAAAGAGTTATAAACATTTATTTCAGTTGGGTGAGTTCTTAAGACAGGTAAAGCAAGATAAATTAATTAAAATGAGATACATAATATATATTACATACAAAGTATTAAAAATTTGTTTTTTAAATTCATATTCAACTTTATTCAAAAATCGCTACTCATACGCACAAAAGTCGGTCAGATCTAAAAGCATACTAGATTCTATGCTGTGCTAAACCTCTATGCTGTTTATAAATTCAAGTGAACAATATATATAGATATATGTATGTCTATACTATATACTTAGCTAGGGGGCACTGACAACCGAACGGCTGTAACTGAGACGACAGCAGCGAATCGCTTGGCATATGCTGATGGTGTTTGTCGTATGCGATGCTGGGCAGTCGTACGCGCACTCGGCTCGGGTCCGCGACAAGCTCAGCTCAGCTCTGCTCAGTTATATCAATTTGAAGCCCAACCGCACCCCCCAGAGGTGCCGCACAGTCCAACTGAGTGGCTCGTTCTCTCGCTGCTGCGTTCGCGCATTGCCGGCCCCATG